AATTCGAATCATAACATAATCTCCAACATTAAATTCAACGTGACATTTATGCAAATTAGCTCGAAGTTTATATAATGCATTACTTGCTTCCAGCTGTTTATTAATCTCAATATGTAGATGTTTTGCAAAAGACTCAGCTGACACGGACACACTAGCATGTGGAGACATAGGAAGAAGGTCTAACGGCTTCCTAGGCTTAAAACCATGAACTACCTCAAAAGAACTCATACCTATTAACCGATTCACTGAACTGTTATATGCAAGTTGCGTAGTAGGAAGAATTAAGTCCCAATTCCTAAGATTTTCCTGGACTAGACACCTTAATAAATTACCAAGACTGCGGTTAACAACTTCAATTTGACAGTCCTTTTGTGGGTGGTATGCAGTAAAGAATTTCAGTTTAGTGTCAACCATACTCCATAGGGTTCGCCAAAAATGGCTAGTGTTGACGATCTCATAAAAGTATAACTTAACAACCTTAGATGCATCGGAGGTTTTGTTACAGGGAATAAAGTGTCATTTTCGAGAAGCGATCTACTACAACGAAAATTGAGTCGTGTTTCTTTGGAGTACGTGGCAACCCCAGCACGAAATCCATACTAACATTTTGCCAAGGACAATTAGGGATGGGGAGAGGCGTGTAGACGCCCGTATTCTGTCTCTTTTGCTTGGATCGTCGACAGGTGTTACATGTGCCAACAACCTTGGCCACATCTGTCTTTAAACTGGGCTAATAGAATAGACGTTCGATCTCCTCTATAGTCTTATCACGCCCAAAATGTCCGACCAACCCACTAGCATGATTTTTCCACACTATAAAGTCTCGTAGTGAAGTCCTCGGGATGCACAAATTATTGGATCTAAAAAGATAGCCCTCCTCCAAACGGAAACCATCAGTGGTGTCCAACTCCCCATTTTGTAAAGCAAGAAAAATGTCTCTGAAATCGGGACATGACTTGTACTCTTCCTTAAGTCTTTCAAACCCTATGACCTTAACACTTATGATGGACAATAAGGAAATGCGACGGCTTAAAGCGTCAGCAGCTCGATTTTCAACTCTTTTTATACTTTAAGACAAAAAATATGCTTGCAAATATTCGATCCAGCGGCCATGCCTAGAGTTCAATCGTCTTTGGGAATTGAGGAAACGAAGGGCCTCATGGTCCGAAAAGAGAACAAATTCGTGGGGTAATAAGTAATGACACCAATAGCACAAGGGTTGTACAACTGCGTACAACTCCTTATCATAAGTCGAATACCGTTGCTTGGCACCATTTAATTTCTCACTAAAATAAATAATAGGATGGCGTTCTTGACTCAAGACTCCACCTATTCCTACCCCTGACGCATCACATTCGACCTCAAAAACTTTGAAAAAATCTGGGAGTCGCATGACTGGAGCCTCTGTCATTCGCTTTTTGATTAACTGAAAGGCCTTAACTGCTTCCTGCATCCAATGAAATTCTCCTCTCTTCATATACTCTGTAATAAGAGCCATAATCGTACTAAACCCTTTGATGAAACGACAATAAAAGGTAGCTAAACCATGAGAACTCTTAACATCATGTATATTCTTGGGGTACGAATCTTCGCAGGATCAGCAGATACTCTTGTAGCGAAAACAATGAATCCAAGAAACACAACTGTATCTATGAAGAAAGAACTTTTCTTCACATTGGCATACAAGCTTGTTGCACGCAGTGTAGAGCAAACTTGCCTTAGATGATCATGATGTTGTTCCCTTGTTTTGCTGTACACGAGGATATCATCAAAATATACGACAATAAATTTGCCCATGAAAGACCGAAGGGCCTGTGTCATCACCNTTGTTTTGCTGTACACGAGGATATCATCAAAATATACGACAATAAATTTGCCCATGAAAGACCGAAGGGCCTGTGTCATCACCTTCATAAAAGTACTTGGAGCATTGGTAAGTCCAAAAGACATTACCAACCACTCGTATAGACCATCTTTCATTTTAAATACAGTTTTACACTCGTCTCCTGGGCGGATCCGAATATGATGATATCCACTCTTCAAATCCATTTTGGAAAAGATTGTAGCACCAGCCATCATATCCAGCATATCATCAAGTCGAGGAATGAGAAAACGATACTTGACGGTGATCTTATTGATAGCGCGACTATCAACGCACATCCTCCAAGAACCATCCTTCTTAGGTGTCAGAAGGGCGGGAACTGCACAAGGGCTTAAGCTTTCACGAATGAAGCCTTTGTGAAGTTCACCCACCTGTCTCTGGAGCTCGACATGTTCAGCAGGATTCATTCTATATTGCGGCAAGTTTGGGAGAGACGAACCTGGAACAAGATCTATAGCATGTTGAATATCCCGTAAAGGAGGCAACAGATCAGGGAGGTCGTTAGGAAATAGATCTTTAAATTCCCGAAGGAGTGATTGGGTTTCAGTAGGGGTCGCTATTCGGGAATCCGACGGGACTTCCATAACAATCACAGCAAATATGACTAGAGTTATTTACGATAATCCGTTCAAATTTTGTAGGACTAATCACATGTAATCCTTTCCTCTCGACAACTTTTTTGGCTTGTTGTAAGTCAACAGATTTTGGTAGTAAAGGATTAAGGTGAATCTTCTTTCCATTAAATACAAAGGAACATGAGTTTGATTACCCATGGATAGTTACATCTAGATCGAACAACAAAGGTCGACCAAGAATGACATATCCGACATCCATAGGGATGACGTCATACCATATATGATCCTTATACTCAAGGAACTGGATAGGCACCAAACAATGCTCTTTCACAGCTATAAAAGAAGTGTCAACCCAAGAAACGCTATATGGTTGGGGGTGCGGGACTGACTTCAATCCAAGATGGGACACTGTGGTCGCAGAGACCGCGTTAATACAACCACCACTGTCAACAATAATCTCACAACCCTTATCTTTGATCTTGATATAAGTATGAAAAATGGCATGACGACGCCGGTCATCGGCATTCTTAGGTTGGGTAAGGGTACAACATACAACACTCAATCGAGAGGCGTCTGGGGCCAGAGAAGTAGGACCTAGACCTACAGGAAGGGTACAAAGGCAACCTAAGAAGGTATCTTCATTATCACCCAAATCGTCAAACTCACCAAAGTTAGGCTCATAGACTTGGTCTTCTAAAGTCTCATCAATGACATCCTTCCGCTCATCAATAACTAAGGTTCGACTCGGACATCTAGAGGAGATATGGTCGAAGCCCTTACAATTGAAGCATTGCAAACGAGAAGAAGTTCTTGAGGTTTCAGGAGCTTTACCTTTATTGTTTGAAGCAGGAAGTGCATTAGATGGTGGAGGTCCTGGAAGAGATTTGGCGGAAGGAGATGGTGCCGATGAGATGGATGGAGTCTTAATAATCGACTCGTAATCTCGAACTAAGGAATAAGCGTGATCGAGAGTGGTGACACCTCGAAGGACAAGCTCACACCGAAGATCCTCTCTTAGGCCCTTTCTGAACCTACTTAAAGTCATAGCTTCATCCTCGATGTATCATCGCATTCGGAGCTCATCAAATTGAGTAACATAGTCAGTCACTAGTCGGTTTCCTTGTGTGAGGGTATTCCAATGGTCCAACAAGTTGCTCCGATAAAAGTGGGGTAAATATTTCTCTTGAAGGCGGCGCTTTATTTCCTCCGAACTTCCAACGGGAGGTGCATGATGCCTCTCAAGAAGGTCCTCAACAATTTCCCAAAAGAGTTGGACAGTGCCATTTAATTTCAAGCTGACAAATTGAATTCTTCGATCCTCTGGGACTCCATACCAGGAAAAGAAACGATCTATGTCTCTAATCCATTGTGTAAAAACTCTAGGATCTAAACAGCTATCGAAAGTAGGAGCGTCTAATTTGATGTTTCGAAAACAACGCTTCTCATAACGAGGAGGTGAATGAGTACCATAATGGTCATGGTCTCGTTCATGATCGCGCTCCTGTTCTCCATTGCTTCACCCATGACAAATACGCTGTCGACCACCATGTCGATGACGTTCAGAGTTATCAGCGTTGGTTGAGGGAGAGGTTTGTTCTAAATTGTTCACCCTAGCAGCTAGTTCTCTACTCTCTTCACAAGTAGCAGTCATCTCGGTTTGGACGGTTGGTAATTGAGCCTGTAGTTGAGCTAATTGTCGAGTAAGGGCATCAAATTGAGAAGGGTCCATGATCACAGTATTGGAATTGGGTATGACAAAACGACCACTATGCAAATGCATGCAATGTAACACTAATTGAATGCAGTGAATGACGAGATCAATAAACAACTAGTTCAAGAAATGAGAATAACAACTACAACATTTAAATAATAATTATTATTATTATTATTATTTTTGGAATTATGAAAGTTTAAGTGTGTCAAACTGATACCGCTGATCTATGTAAAATAATAAAGCAAGGGTCAAACACTAGTCAACGACATAAGCACGTAAAATAAATGGGGGTAAAGGTGAAAATATGACAAGGGGATTTAATAACGTGAATTTTATGTAAAGGCGGCAGCACAAAAGTTAATCGATACAATTCAAGATAAACAACAATATAAACAGAGGATAAATAAAAACGACAACTTTCCTTTCGTTCGTTTGAAGAGGCTATGTCCAATCAATTAGAATGAAAGAGGTACCTGAAAAATGATGTTAGAAAAATAACTTATATATATGTGTGTGTGTGTGTGTGTGTGTGTGTGTGTGTGTGTGTGTGTGTGTATATATATATACACAAATAAAACTTCTAAGCAAATGGGCCAAAACGGGCATACAAACGGGGGCCCAAAACAAAGCTAAAATACAAAACACTCGAATTACACAATATAACCAAAACAGGGCCGAACCTAAGGCCCAAAACATAACGGACTGAACACAGGAAACTTCAGTCCATAGAATCTCCTTATTTGGCTTCGTCTGTAGCTTTGATGCTTGATAAGGTGTTGGCCACTGGTAGCGAGATACGGCTGTAGCGTATGGATGGCAGAAGTATGGTTGTTGTTTCTGTGTAGAGAAGATGAAGTTTGGGTAGTAGTGGAGGCAGCGGAAAGATGAAGGTTGGGTGTTTGGACCGAGAAATGATGTTTGATTGTGGCAGCCAAATTTGGGAAGATGTTTTGTGATTGACGGGTAGCAATTTTGGGTATGGTGTTCTTGAGATGTGGGTAGCGATTGTGAAAAAGGAACGGTTGCTGCGTCAACGGTGGTTCGATTAAACAGGGAGTACGTTAGACGGTGGGGGTCCAAGAAGAGATTTGGTGGGCGGAGGTGGTGCCGATGAGATGGATGGACGATTATCACTACGCCTTCCATACGGAGTCTTAGTAATCGACTCGTAATCTCGAACTAAGGAATAAGCGTGATCAAGAGTGGTGACACCTCGAAGGACAAGCTCACGCCAAAGATCATCTCTTAGGCCTTTTCTGAACCTACTTAAAGTCATAGCTTCATCCTCGATGTATCATCGCATTCGGAGCTCATCAAATTGAGTAACATAGTCAGTCACTAGTCGGTTTCCTTGTGTGAGGGTATTCCAATGGTCCAACAAGTTGCTCCGATAAAAGTGGGGTAAATATTTCTCTTGAAGGCGGCGCTTTATTTCCTCCGAACTTCCAACGGGAGGTGCATGATGCCTCTCAAGAAGGTCCTCAACAATTTCCCAAAAGAGTTGGACAGTGCCATTTAATTTCAAGCTGACAAATTGAACTCTTCGATCCTCTGGGACTCCATACCAGGAAAAGAAATGATCTATGTCTCTAATCCATTGTGTAAAAACTCTAGGATCTAAACAGCTATCGAAAGTAGGAGCGTCTAATTTGATGTTTCGAAAACAACGCTTCTCATAACGAGGAGGTGAATGAGTACCATAATGGTCATGGTCTCGTTCATGATCGCGCTCCTGTTCTCCATTGCTTCACCCATGACAAATACGCTGTCGACCACCATGTCGATGACGTTCAGAGTTATCAGCGTTGGTTGAGGGAGAGGTTTGTTCTAAATTGTTCACCCTAGCAGCTAGTTCTCTACTCTCTTCACAAGTAGCAGTCATCTCGGTTTGGACGGTTGGTAATTGAGCCTGTAGTTGAGCTAATTGTCGAGTAAGGGCATCAAATTAAGAAGGGTCCATGATCACAGTATTGGAATTGGGTATGACAAAATGACCACTATGCAAATGCATGCAATGTAACACTAATTGAATGCAGTGAATGACGAGATCAATAAACAACTAGTTCAAGAAATGAGAATAACAACTACAGCATTTAAATAATAATAATTATTATTATTATTATTTTTGGAATTATGAAAGTTTAAGTGTGTCAAACTGATACCGCTGATCTATGTAAAATAATAAAGCAAGGGTCAAACACTAGTCAACGACATAAGCACGTAAAATAAATGGGGGTAAAGGTGAAAATATGACAAGGGGATTTAATAACGTGAATTTTATGTAAAGGCGGCAGCACAAAAGTTAATCGATACAATTCAAGATAAAC